TCGTTCTCAACATGTATATTCGATCAGATAAGGCCAATTGGTGATTATGTTTGATATTAGAAATAGTACCCCTCCATTCTTCATCATTTTTATGTCCAATTCTAAGTCTCACATTATAACCGATTTGAGTATCTAATTTTCGGTAGCTACATTAATTATTTTTTCAATACACTTTCTATCTTTTATTCAACTACAAGAACAAAAAAATTTATTCATGTATAGCTCTCTACTATTATCATAAAAAAATTCTTGTTTTCCTTATCGTACACTAAGAGAGTGTTTGGTAGTTGGTTTATTCAACTACTTTTAATTTATTAAATGACTGTTTAATCAATCAAATAATTATTTAGTTCTTTTTATATTTTTTTCCACACAATTTTTAAAAAATTTAATACACAATACACATTCATTATTTTTATATTATTTATATAATTTTCTATACCTCACATAAAAAAAATTAGTTTTCAACGACTCTAAAATATTCTATATCATAGCGTTTCATAACAACATTTTGATTATATTAATTTTTTTATTCATAATTTGCCCTAATAAATTAATTACTCTTTTAACACTCATATACATTAATATTTTTTATTATATTATTTATTAGTTACGTTCATATATTTTCTTTCAATAAGTTTTTATTTTATAAATTTTAAATAATTGAAATAATTATTATTTATATGTAAAATATTTAATTTTTTAAAAGGTAAATGCAAAATAAAAATAAAAATATTATTAATTAATATATATATATATTTATCACATTTTTTTTAAAATACATATATTAGAATACATTTACCTAAAATGATAGGTTTATTGAAAAAAATAAATTAATGAAAAGTTAACCTAGTAAAAATAAATGTACGAAGAACTTGTTTCTTTGGGTAAACTGTTTTTTTAGTCCCGTAACTGGACCCCCTTATCATTTTAGTTTTGTAAGTGGAGCATGTCGCAAACTAGTTCCATAAGTGAAAAATTTTCGCTATTTTAGTCCTCCGGCGCCGGAGACGCCCGCGTGGCTCGTCGGAGGTGACGTGTCCGCCAGGTCAGCGACACCTGGCGGACACGTGGATTTTTTTTTTTTTAATTTTTTTAAATTTTTTTTAAAACTTATTATTCATTTATTTTTAATTTTATTTGCATTTTTTTATTTGGTCCAATTAAAAAAATTAAAAATAAATGAAAAAAATAAATAAATCCACGTGTCCGCCAGGTGTCGCTGACCTGGCGGGACACCTGGTGGACACGTCACCTCCGGCGAGCCACGCGGGCGTCTCCGGCGCCGGAGGACTAAAACAGCGAAAAATTTTCACTTATGGGACTAGTTTGCGACAGGCTCTACTTACGAACTGAAATGATAAAGGTGTCCAATTACGGAACTAAAAAAAACAGTTTACCCTTATTTTTTTACATTATATAGTATTTCTAATGAAAAAAAAATGTTCATATTTTTCAATAAAAATACATTAATTTTCTTACAAGTTGTTTCAAAATAAAAAAAAAAATTAAATATTTTAATAATATTTTCGTAACTTTCAATAACTAATAATAAAAATTCTAAAAATCCTACACAACGAAATAATAAAATAAATATTTTTAAAATCAAATATAAAATATATTTAATTGTCATTTTAAATATAAATTGCTAAAAACAAATAATTATTTTACTAAATACTTTTGCACAAATAGTTAATATATTCAGCTAATCAAACTTGTTAATCGAATCAACTAACAACTAAGAGCTAATCGAATAAATTTAACAACTAATTGTCAAACACGTCCTAAAGTTTTTACAATGTCTATATTCACAATATATTAAATCTATATTTTTAGGATCACTTATAATTTGCTCAACTTCCAATTATTTTTATAGTTTAGTAACAACAAAATTATTACTTACCTGCAATAGTGTAACTGAACATGGAGATGCTTCTTGTACATACTCATTCGTCTCTCCAATTTCTTTATCTTGTTTTTCACAATCTAATTTTAAACAATGTATTAAAACTATATCAAATTTATACATTTTTCAAAAAAATATGAGAAAGTAGTAGTATCATTCTCAATGGCATGTGAATTATCCGTTTTCATTCCGGTATGTTGTGCTACAATCAAAATTGATATATTTAGTTGATGTTAAGAGTAATTTTGTGGTGAATATAATGATTAAGTTTACATGATCAATTTTCATCATCAAAATAAAATAGAAAATAATTTAAATAAAAATAAACACTAACAATAATCAAAATACAAAATCTACAGAAAAGCAATAATATATGAAGAGTTAAAAATAGTGAATGATGTTCTTCTTACCGATGAAGAAAAGAAAACCCGATAACCAAATACGTGTACCTCCAAAAGTTTCGAATAGTAAAACTTCAAAGATATTTGGAGAAGAAGAACAAGATTTGTGAGTAGAGAAAACGAAATAATTTAACAAGTTTGAAAGTAGATGAATCTCCAATTCATCTTTTTTCCATTAGTATGTAGAATCGAAGCGTTATTATTTATTTCTAAAAATAAATTTGCAGAAGAAAGAAACAACTATTGTTTAACATGGATTAACTATAGAAAATAAATTAAATAAGATAAACACTAACCATAATCAAAATACAAAATCTATAGAACAACAATAATATACGAAGACTTAAAAATAGTGAACTATTTTCATCTTATAGACAAGGAAAAGGAAATCCAATAACCAAACACTTGTACCGGCAGAAGCTTTGAATAGTAAAATTTTAAAGATATTTGGAGAATAGTAAAATTTTAAAGATATTTGGAGAAGAATAACAAGATTTGAGAGAGAAAAAGTGAAATAATTTACCAAGGTTAAAAGTAGATGAATGTACAATCCATCTTTTTTCGGTTTGTATAGAATCAAAGTGTTATATTTTTACTAAAAATAAAATTGCAGAAGAAAAAGACAATTATTGTTCAACATGGGTTAATTCGACCAATAAAAATCAGACAGCGCCGGAAAGTAATTTTAAAAATAAAAAATAACACATACAAATTGGAAGGGCAAATTTGATATTTTAAAATAAAAAATTGAAAAAAAACATTAGATTGTGACATTTGTATCAATCTAATCACCCGAAACATATGTGGAAATAGAGACAATATGACATTGTGTTTGTTTAGTGAAATTGTTTGAAACTATATATATTATGTAAATTTTAGGTATATTAATATAAAAAGAATAGTATATGTGATATATTATTTTTTTTTAAGAAAATATATTTGTTTGAGAATTATGGAAAAACACACCCTTGGGTTATTTGGTAAAGACATCAGAAAAATAAAAATATTTATATTTCTCTTATTTGTTTGAGTTAGAGCAATGAAACTGGAGAAATAAATTATTTTTATTTCTCTCCCATATCCTAGATAAATGGAGAGAAATGATATTTGAGTATTTTTTTAATTTTTTTTTACTATTTAATTTTTATAATTTTTTAAAATTATAATATTTTAATTTTACAAAATTATGTTTAATTTATTATTCAAATATTTAATTTTTATGATTTTTAAAAAAAGTTATACTAAAATATGATCTTACAAAACATTATATATAATTTATAATTTTTTTAATAAAAAAAGTCACCAAAAATATTTTTTTCTTCGGATTAATCATTTATTCTTATGTGATCCATTCAAATAGGTGCATTTTATTTAACGTTTCTCAACTGAATTCTCTATTTTACCAAACAAGAGAATTAATTCTCATTTTCTGCTAAATTCTTTTTTTCTCCAAATCCATTCTCTACTTCATTTTTTTTTCTAATTTCATTATCTACTCTCATTTTCTTTGCAATTTGATTCTCTATACCAAAAGCCCTTTATATTTTTTAGATTAGAAGAAATAAGAAATTATTTTATCCACAAATACATTATCACACACGCACATTGAATTCCAATATAAAATTGCTCAACTAGATTTGGAATAAAGTATTTGAACCCGATTCGAGGTTGCAATATTCAATTCAAGGGGCTTTTTAAAACAATGGCCTAAGTCAAATGGTGATTTAAAATCCTAGCCCACAAAGGAGTTCCCAAAACTTTTATATTTATAAGGCAAAACAACATAAAATCCCGTATGATTTTCTGAAGTTGCTAAAAAATCCCTGATTCTAAAACTCCAAAAAACCTATTTATATTTTATAAAACGTTGCATACTCGCACCCTCTTCCAAAAGGCACTGACGGCGTTAAATATAGCCTCTTCTGGACCGTTTTCCCCCTTAGTGTAATTTGTAGTTAGGAACTAAGGCAAAACGATTCACTATTCCCACGATTTCACTCCCAACACAGACCTCGACCCGCCACTCTCACGCAGAATCCCGACTGTAGCGCTCCTCTCGCCCGACGCCCCGCTCTCCGCCACCGCTGCTTGCAATGAATAGAAGTTGTTTGTGTCCATTTGTGTTTGGCCGGACTAGTAAGAAAGCTAGGGTTCAATTCCTGGAGCCCTTCGTATGTAGGTAAAATTTTGCAGATGACCGTCGAATTGTGAGTAAGGGGGACACATTAAATTGTGTGAAGAAACAACCTATTAAGTTTGATTTTGGTTTCATGAGGTCGGCCGTATATACAGGGCAAACACGTTGGTTTATTTAAAATATGGTTTTTTGTTGTCCTTTTGGGTTGGGTTACTTTACTCCATTATTTATTATGCAATTTTTTTTGCCGGATCTTTCATTTCGATTGCCTTTGATTCATTCTAAATTCTATATTGTTGTGGCGCAGATTGCTACCTGTTGTGACTGGTTGTGGTCCCCCACATCTTTATGGAAAATTTATACACTAAATATATGTGGATTGGTGGGTATACCGATTGGGAGGGCCCATGTCATTGTTACAGGAGTGGTAGGACAATTCTGTTTCCGGGTATTGACAAGGACCGGATTTGTCATGGTGCTCTCTTAGATATGTATGCCCACGCAGGCGGAAGAGCAGGAGTTGTAGAATTCACACACTAGAATCCTATCAGCGGCCATGGTGCTAATCTCCGGGATCCGATTTATACGATTAGATGCGACGAAAATGTTCTAGAAATGTTCAAGATCCATTAAGGAAAAAATGTAAATTCTATATATGCTGATGACAAGGACTTGCCAATGATGGTATGCAATCAGTAGGGGCGTCCCACAAGGACCTCAGAGAAAGATGTACATTATTTGGAATGGCATAGGGAAGTAGGGGAAAGTAGCGATCCGGCTTCCGTGCCGGTTGAGCAGGATGAAGACGGTGAGGACAATAAGGATAAAGATGATGATGATGCAGTGGTCATGGATGACATGTGCGGGATTAGGAATGATAAATTTCAAATCCATGGAGTTGAGGACGTAACAGGTGAATTTGATCCGCGTTACGAACAAATCATAGAAAAGGGAAACATATTGCACGATCATAAACGAAAAAGGAGAGCGACGATGACGATGAGAGCAACGATGATGAGGACAGTGATGGTGACGAGGACAACGATGATTACGATGACAACAATGTTGAGGATGATGACGAGGAAAGCCAAGGGGAATTCGAGTGCATGTGTGTCGAGGAATTAATGTGGACAGATTACAACGAGGGAATGGGAGCTTATGTTTGCCACGAGGTGGAGCCTGCAAGCCCTATCAGTAAGATCATTTAGGGCTTCACATGAATTCTTATCTTGCTTTCTTAATTATTTTCACTGACATGTGACTGAAAATTTCATACACCATGTAGATGATGAGGGTGCGAGGGAGGGCCATGGACATATTACAATGAGGGCATAGGAGCTCAAGCTTGGCGCAAGATGGAGCCTGCAAGCCTTGTTGGTAAGATCAGGTGAGGTTTCACATGACTTCTTATCTTTTTTCTTAATTATTTTTACTGACATGCGACTAAAAATTTCATAAACCAAGTAGATGAGGGTGACGAGGGAGGGCTATGGTCAGATTACAACGAAGGCATGGGTGTGGAGCCTGCAAGCCCTATCGGTAAGATCAGCTGGGGGTTTACATGACTTCTTATCTTGCTTTCTTAATTATTTTTACTGACATGTGACTAAAAATTTCATAAATCATGTAGATGAGGGTGACGAGGATGATAGTAACAACACCGATACTGACGAATATTGAGAGGATGTACAGATTTTTCAAGAGTGGCAGAAGGAGGCCGCACGTGAAATGGAAAGTGACAATTTGGAGATAAGCTCCGACAGCGGAGACTGAGGGAGCGAGGATGTGGAGGGGAAGTTAGCTCAAATGCTTCACCTATGGATGAGGATGAGACGAATCTGATAGATGAACTCCCGCAAGCGAGTGAAAATGAGCAGGTTGGGGAGTGCGAGTAGGAAGGGGGAAATGCGGAGGCCAAGGGTTGGTGTTCTGATGGCCCGAGTGATGAGGACGGGCTTCTTCGCAGCCCAGCAGGATCGGCTGAGGGATTAGGTCCGGCGTTTGAGGAATAGGATGATGACATGGACTTAGCTACACGTGATCTGAAGGTCGGGATGAAATTTTTCATCCGAGATAAATACAGACAGGCTTTTCGGGATTGGTCTGTGCGTCATGGTTGGGATTTGAATCAGATAAAGAATGAAAAAAGAAGGTGACAGTCGTGTGCAGAAAGGAGCGCGGGTGGAGAATTCACGCTTCTTGCGTCATGGGGGGGGGCACTTTCTAAATTAAAACATTAAAGGGAGTCCATACTTGCGCACACCAGTCGTCTAATGCACAAAAGAACTACAAGTACTTCGGAAAAAGAATTAAGGACATTGTAGCTGATAATCCAAATATATCTATACCCGCTTTGAAGAAGAAAATACATCGGAATGTACGTGTTGAGGTGACTTTGTACAAAGTTTACCGAGCCAAGCGGTACGCATTGGAGTTGATAAAGGGTAGTAAGGCTGAGCAGTACAGAAGACTTTATGATTACTGTGCTACCGTATGCAAGTACAACCCGGGAAACAATTGTATTTTGCATGTTGATCGTGGACTTAACCCTCTGGTACTAAGCGGATGTACTATTATCTAGCAGATATGAAAGACAGCTTCAAGGTGGGCTGTCGGACGATCATTGGGTTGGACGGTTGTTTTCTTAAGGGGTTCTACAAGGGGCAGCTTCTCACAGCCATCGGACAAGATCCGAATAAGAATATCTACCCTATTGTCTTTGCCTTTGTAGAGATTGAGAGGTACGAAATGTGGGATTGGTGCTTGGAGCGTTTGTTGCGAGACCTTGGGGATTCGAGACAGAGAAGTGGGCGTTCATCTCCAACCGACAAAAAATTTTGGTGGAGGTGATTGCCGATTGAGCACCAAGGGCCGAGCATCGCTTCTATCTCTGGCACATGTACAACAACTTCAAGACACGATTTAACGGACTGGAATTAAAGTGTCTCTTCTGGAGGGCAGCATCAACATATAATTTAAAAGAACACAAAAAATTCCTAAGAGAGATTCACAAGCATGATGCGGTTACAAGTACGGAAGAAGTGACATATACTTGGTTGCGCGAGATCCTGCAGCATCATTGGGTGAGGGCTTTTTTTCCAACGTGAATGAAGAGCGACGTGGTCGTGAATAACATTTGTGATTCTTTCAATTGTTACATCTTTGAGACATGGGACCTACCGATCGTAGACATGTTTGAGTGGATTTATCAAAAATTGATGGTTCGTATTCAAAAGAAGAAGACCGATATTGAGAAGTTTGAGGGGATTGTATGTCCAAGTATTAAGAAGAAAGTGGAGAACTAATGGAAGGTGAGTCGTAATTGTTTTTCTTCTTGGGGAGGGGATGACATGTACGAGCTGCTGCATTTCAACAAGAACCATGTCGTCGAGCTAAATCGGCGTGTATGCCAATGTGGTATGTTCCAGATCAGCAGCTATCCATGCTGCCACGATGTTGCTGCTATCGAGTATCAGCGACTGCCCGTCAAACAATTTGTTGACGACTACTTCAAAAAGGAGACCTACAGAGCTATTTAAAGCCATGCAATTCACTATGTCCCTGGCATGCATGAATTCGAGGAATCCACACTGGGAGAGGTTGCCCCATGGGTCGTGAAAGTTAGAACTGGTTGTCTAAAGAAAGTCACCCGTCATGACGGGAATAATGAGTTTGTTGACGGTAAAACTTCTCGAAAGGGATTGATGACTACTTGTTCGAAGTGTCGTCATCAAATACACAATAGATGAAGCTGTAAAAGCGCTCATCAACACGTACAAGCTAGAACTGTTGACATCTGACGTACTTGATTCATTTTTTTTGTAACGTCGGTTGCATTGGCATATGAATCGTTGACATTTTTGGCCATCAAATTAGGGAAATCGATGCAATGAGGGCCCATCCAGAGAGATGTATGGCGGCCGCAACCAGACAGAACAGGTACAAGATAGAACTCTGTTGAATCTCTATTTTTGGTGCACCATAAATGTGTTGTTTACTATGCCATTGCAATGTACATTAAATTAAGGAAAATATGTGCGAATGAGGACCCATCCGGGCCGATGTCGAATAACTGCCTGCAGCTAGAACAGATACGCACTGGGAATGTTCTACAATTGTTTTGGATCTTTTTTTTTGGATGACATAAGTGTGATGACCTTTTTTACCATTGCGACCAATTTGTTAGGTGGCTTCCAATGCTCATCCCGCTCCGGAATCGACACCAGCGACACAGTTCTCTCAGGTTTAGTCAGTACGCGAGCAGCACCATCTTTTATTAATTTGTGGTAAATAGAAATACGTATTTGAATTTATGTTCCAAAATTCCATTTTTATGTACAATCATTCGTAGGGTCCATCGGGGACAACGGAAAGAAGTGAAGGGGCTTAACGTCCAACATTATCCTTGTTGCTCCGAAGCGTTAGGTTCCCACTTAGCCTGGGAGGGTGTAGACCGCCCTCGACGGGTGGATCTTCAAGTGGTCGTTCATAAGGGCGAGATGTTTTTTTACTATGCCGTTTGCGATAGATGCTTACGAGTTCTGGACTATTTTCATATATTATATTGGTATTTGGTATTAGCTATTTTCATATTATGTACTTTGGTGGTATGATGCCGGATTATGTAGACATGTCAAATGCTATTATCCTTACGATCGTTTTGTGTTTAGGGTCAGCAGGATATTGTGTGGTTATGTTGTTTTTTGCACAGGATGATTGAACTATCATGTAAATGCTACGTTCAATTCCGGCTAATGCATTTTTGCCTTTGTGGTTATGTTGTTTGTTGCACAAGACAACAAGCCACAAATTTCATACTCAATGAATTTTGTCTCATTGCTCTCTGAAATAACATGAAACACCATCATATCCAGTTGTTGCATCTATTCTGGATGATCAATTACGTGAAATGAACCATAAAGTACTCATACCTAAACTAAAGTAACAAACATCCATGTAACTAAACCAAATTCACAAACAAACATTCTAGTTTACACAAATGGGCAGTCTACACAGAAAGAACATTACGAATAATTGGATTACAAATCTGAAAACTGCATTCTAGTTTCTGCATTACTACTAGTACAACAGTGCTGCTACTACGACACCACTCTTGCTAATACTAATCAGTCTGCACCATTGCTACTAATCATCTGCTACTACTAAACAAACAAGGCAATTTAAAACAACACGAGACGAAAGGAGATGAACCATAGAACACATACCAACTATTTAAAACAAAACCTTCGGTATGCTAAGTAGCATGACACCAATCATAACAACCTTGATCTAACTCAACGTAGCTCGCAAGACTTTTATTTCACGGCGTAGTTCTTCCACAACCACTTTCAATTGAGACGTTTCATCCATGACCACCTTCATTTGTTTGAGTTGCTCCCTATCAAGTGCAGCGGATTGAACCTCTAACTCGCCCACTTCATCCTCATTGTTGCTCCACTCCCCAATATAGATGCTCACTGGATCAAGCCAACAGAAAAAATCACAGGCTCCAAGGCGGCAATTGCAGAATAATTTTCCTTGTGTTTCCTTCGTTGGACTGATAATACAGATTGCCACAGCAGCTCCACACTTGCATCATGGAAATCAATACCTTAGATCAACATCTCCCCGCCCCTTGGACTTCGATTTTGGGCCGCTAAATGACATCTCTTATCAAATTCAATAGTAGATATTACAATGATTGTATAAAGACACAAACATATATGATTATTTGCTTCCAAATAAACCATTTAATAGCCGCGTAGACTTCACCCATTTTCGTTGCAAAGTAGCGTAAGAATTACAAATTTATGATTGGAAACAAGATCCAATTCGATTGAAAAAGTCCAGTGCAAAAAGTTACAGTTTTTTTTTTTTTTCAAACTGGATTAACAAAACCAATTTCCCACAAAATTGATTCTAAAAAAAAAATCAGCATTGCCAAACCAATTATCCACAAAGGGAATTTCGATTTCCAAATGATTACCGAAATCAATTACCCACCCAAAAAAATCCGATTCGCACATCGAATCGGTGCACACAAACCCTACCGATTTGAGAAAATTGCAACCTCGCTACTGAAACACCCCTATACGCGAATCCGATTCACAAAAGTATTTCAAGATTCATACTAGATCCTAAACAATGTTGCAATCTCACTGAAGAAAACTCAAACCCGATTGGGGAAAATCAAACACGATTTCAGAAAGAAATCTCGGAAAAAATAAATACCAATTTACGAAACCTCAACAAAATAGAATCAAGTACTGTTAAAATTAGAGATACCAAAGTTTGTGGAATCCTAGCTCCGGCCCCAACAGGGTAGAGGTGACGGTGGGACTTCAATCGGTGACTGCGAGAGTTAGATTTTGGGTGAGAAGAAGACGGGGTGAATTAAGACAGGGTGAAGGAGAGAATGATACATATCTTAGATTCTGAGGGTATTTTAGTAATTTTGCGGTGGAATATATCCGTTTCTAAACCAAAACACGCATCTGAAGTGCGTGAGATACACCCTCCATTAAGTCCTCACGGAGGAGTTTTTCTGCAACAAATTTGAAACCACAAGTAAATTTTTTGGAATTTTAAAAGCATGGAGGTTTTCAACTAATTCGTGAAACCACATGAGGGTTTTATGCTATATTACCTATTTATAAATGTAGTAGTTGTTAGAACTCCTAATATTTTAAATTTAGGATATTTTAAAATCTTAAAGTATTAAATATATTAGTTTTAAAAACTATTATAAATATTTTTATTAGAAATAAAAATAAATATCATTCTAATCAATAAACCCTAAATCTCTCAACTTTCCTCTCGTCCATCGCGTTTCTTTCCAGTGATTCTCAAGTGCCGCTGGTGCCACTCTTCTTCGGACGATATTGGTAATTTATTTTTCAATTTTTTTTGTCAATTCATTCTGTTTTGTTTGTTTGTTGGTTTGGAAGATACATTTTGTGGGTGGAAAGATTAATCTAGAAATTGATAGAATTATTGTTCTAATATATGTGTTTTGGTTTGATCAGTTTCATATAAATTCGTCCTCATGAATCAACCCGAATCTCTTTTTTTTTTTCTCTAAAGTCAGCACCTATCTCTATATCCTCAATTTTCGATCTGATTGTTAGACAATTTTGAAAGTTGTGTTCATTGCTTGCGTTGTGTTGCTGGCATCTTCTTCACAAGGTATCATATAATTTATTTATTTATTTTCTACTATTTCTTATTGTATAGTAATGCATTTTTCAGAATTTGTCATATTTGTTTTTTTTTTGTATATATTATTTCTAATTTTTGTGATATTGCATATTCTTATTGCTATATTTATGTTTATACCATTTTTCTAATAGTAGTACTTTGAGTTAATATAATTTTTATTATTTTAAAAATTTTTAGGAGTTTATATTTGTGTTCAAGAGCTTATATTTGAGTTAATATAATAAGATATGGATTTAAATATAAGCATCAGTTACATTTATATATATATATACTAAGTTAAACCACATAGTTTTAATGTAGATATTTTTAATTTGGAATGTGAACAATGTTTTGTGATGTTTTCATATTGGGAGGGATTACTTGGCCCCAGTAACGATCGTCTACTTCATCTTTAATCTACACACCGTTTGGAATATATTTGGAATGGTGAATTAGCTGATCATAAATCTAGTCTTGTTTGTCCGGAAAGATATTAGACTAGTATATCTAAATTATGCAATCCTAGGGTCCTTGAGATATTAAATCGTATTGAATTTTATGAAGTATGTAAGGTTGGACATGTCAGACATGTTCCTGGTCTTTTGACAACATTAGTTGCGCGATGGCGTCCTGAAACACATATATTCAATTTCACATTCGGTGAGACAACAGTTACATTAGAAGATGTTAGATATGATATATCAGTTACCTATTGATGGTAAACCTATTGTTAGTAATGCCACATCTCGACAAACCATAAAACACTCTTCAAAGATTTGTATGGATTTGTTACTCTTAGCCCATAATATTTCAACCATGAACAGTGGATTTTGCACTCTATTTTAGAAGATCATTTCAAGAGTGATGAATTTCAAATTAATAACGATAGTCTTGAAGAAAAAGTAGAGTGTTGAACACGTGGATCTATACTGATGATGATTATGGGTAGCATATTTCCAAATTCAGATGATAGTACGGTCAAATTGATTTACTTTTCGTACCTGCAAAAACTTACATTTCTAAAAAGTGTAGCTAAGGAAGCGTTTGTTATAGATTTTTATAAATTGACAAACAATTACAAAATCACTTAACAACTAACTTATTAAAAACAATGTCAAAATAAATATCATATGAAAATAATTTTGTAATAAAATAACAAATACAATATAAAAAAAATATTGTATAAAAACTATAAAATAATTTAGTAAAAAAATATTACCTAGAAATTGGACCTCTTGAGCAAAAATTTTGCTTGAGAAACGAACACACACCATACACAAAAAATTGGAATACAACAAAATTGTTTGAGATGGTGTTTATTGAAATTAAAAGTATAGAAATTCTCAAAAATTATATAATAAAAATACAGAATTTTTTATAACTACTTTTCAGCAAAAAAAAGTTTTTAAAACTTCTATAATTTCCAAAAAATAAAAGTTCTGAAAATTACTATTTTTAATGTTTTAGGTGTTTTCAAAATTTTTATTATTTTATATTTAAGAGTTTTGAAAACTTTAAATATAGGAGTTCCCAAAACTCTTTCCAATACTAGATTTCTAAAATGATATTTGATTTAGGCTATTTTTTTTTTAAAAAAAAAAATCCAATTCATATCAACCGCAATAAATAATTAATAATTGCAAAAGTAATACTCTATTTGTTCGCCTCTAAAGGTCACATTTACCTTTTTCGTCATTGTAGATAATATGAATATCCTTATATTCGCATAATTTTTTTGTACAAAATGTCCTTCTATTAGTATTATAAGACACTAATGTAAGTATTTTTGCAATTTTTTCTTAATCTGTACTACTTCGTATAGTAATTAATATTGAAAGATCAACACTCAAAAAAATAAATGAGACCCTTAAAACCGAACGAAAATAGTAGTATCAAAATTAATTACTCCATCGGTCCCACTTACTATGCCCATCTTTCTATTTCCGTCCGTCCCACTTATTTTGTTATTTTTTTTTTGGAAAAGAATTATATATTTTAATCTTAGTTTAAATTTACATTTTTTTTAAAATTGTAATTAGACTAATGCACTATATTAATTTTAATCTATAATTATTTTTATTATATAATAATTATTTTTATTAATAAATTACTCCATCCGTCTCAATGGTAGTTGGTAAAAAAAAGGATAAATGACTTTTTGTCTTACGAGTATATTAGTATAAAAAATAGAAAAAATAATAAACAAAATAATTGTATCAGAACGAAAGAAGTATTAATTATTTATTAATTATATTCTTGTTAAATTGTGCGTGTCTACCGTGAAATGGACATACTATCTAGACGAAGTATTTTCATTAAGGGTGTGTTTGTTTGGAAGATTGGATTAGATTTACATTATTCATCCAATTTTTTTCCCCAAAAACATCAAATCAAACACTTATTTTTCATTTTTTATATTATATTAAAAATCAATTTTACATTTAAAACATCACATCAACACTTATTTATATCTATTCAAATTCAAACTTTTTAGTATTCAAATCTCATCTCAAAATTCAAACCCTCAAATAAACTCACTTAAAACCTCAAACAAACACACTTAAAAGGACACAATATCCGTCTATGGAGGAAGTACTTTTATTATGAATGGATTGTAATAATTTTGGCTGTACTTTCATTAAATTCTTCCTTATTTATCATCCTCCTCTTTCTCTTGTTCCGATCCTTCCCTTGGGTTCATTCAATCCATAATAATCTCCAAGTTGTTAGCTGCGTTGTGTGGTTGGAGAGATAAGTCCGATGGCCCTCAACCTCATCTCTCCTTCCGCTTTCCTCCACTTTCTCTCCAACCGCCTTTCCGCAGGAGGGTTTCCTTCCGTTCCTCGCCGCCGACCTGCCTCCCTATTCTGTTGCCAGCTATCTCAGCAGCAGCAGCAGCAGCAGACTTCGCCAAGGTTGGGAATTCCATCGCCACCGGGTAGGATTGATTGTTCGCTGTTGTCTGTGTCGGCAGCGTGTTCTGAGGAGGAGCTCTGGGCCGCTGCGTGTCTCCGAGTCCGGACATTCTACGACTTTGACCCGGAGATGTTTGGCATCGAAGTGAGTGCTCTGCTATAACTCGTTTGGCTGAAGTTTGTTTGCCTTCAATTCAGCTTATTTGGCTTGTTCTAATTATGTAAATTCGAAAATGGGATAGAACCATGAATGGTCTTGATGATCCTTCTTTAAGATGTAGATATGTTGACGGATTTGACGGAGGGAAATATTAGGGAAAACAATGCTATGAGTTGAGTAAATTTAGACTAGAGGAAAGACACCCATTTTCTCAATCTCACTTAGAAAACGATCGAGATGACGAATTAAATAATAGGGAACTCTAGCCTTTGATGTATAATGGTGGATTATGATCTATGAAATGATGCTTATGTAATGCCGAGTTGAACTGGCCAAGGTAAATTGTTAAAAGTTTTTCTTCAGGATTGATTTGGTTGCTCTTGTTTATATATGCAACTCATGCATACTCTCTTCCTTGTTCAATTTATATTCCCTTTTGATGGATGCGTTGCTGTGTCTTAGGATGAAAATTCTATTGTAGATGGAACTTTGGCTATGGGAACCAAGGGCCGGATAAATAGTTTGTTGTTTCGACTTACCGGTACTTAAATTGGTGATTTTTTTCATGCGAGGATTTTGGTATATTCATCAGCAAAACTTGGGAGTTGCATAGTGAATTACTGCTATTTACATCATGTCTGTTTGAGATATGTGACTGTACATGAGCTCATATGATGGTTCCAGGATCTTGAAACACGTCCTTGGTTGTAACATCTAATATATCTGCAGCTGTCAATGTTAAGAAAAGTTTATTTTGATATCAGAAATGAAATATGAGATTTAATACATTTTATGATTGTGTATTCTTCAATGCATCTTGTTGTTATGTAACTTGTCCTTATGTCATATGATGCTTCATTGAAACTTCTTTTGGTAATTCTTGTTCAGCTTATGTTATTTTCTTCTTGTCAAGTTTTGTTAGGATCATAAAAGATACTTGGCTGAACATGAATTTGAAGCCCTGAAAGAACGAGTAGCAGGAAAAAGTAAGGGCTTTAGAAAAGTTTCTTGTATCAATGCCACGTTACCGACTTCTGTGGTGTTGAATATCTCAGATGACTTGTGTCCTTCTTGCAAAGTAAGTGCCTATTCTATCTAAGTTACAAGAAACTCTGTTATTACCTATTTTTGTGACATTTCATTTGATCCTTCATTGTTACTTTGTAAATCTACATGGCTTATGATTGTAAATGTTTCTGAAGCAATTATACAAATCTAGTCATCTATATTTCCCAAAGCCTTCATAATTGGGTAGTTAAAATTTGTGTTACTTAAGATAGGCATCCTTTGTAGCAACAACTATTACTGCAGTTGCATGATGGCCAAAATTTACATTGTTTCAGAACCTAAGGGTATCTAGATATGCTTAGGAAGAGTTTTGGGTTGCTTTGCCAATAGTATAGAAAATAGGGGTTTGATGTTCCTTAAATAGGTATCGGATATAATATTTTTAATGGAAAATAGGTTTTTGCTGTAATATTTAAATATAAAATATGTTGTAAATATAACATTATTTAGAGAGAGAAATTTTGATAAATACTATGAAACCAAAATTGAAAACATGAGTAATCAGAGCCTACTAAGTGTTTAGTCCTCATTCTTCCTTGCCTCCTAGTGTAAGTGTAAACATAGCCTAAAGTTCTTTAATTAAATTGAAATGCTAGCGTAAACATATAAGATTCAAATACATGCTTTGTACTGGGAATAATACATAATAGTGGAATCCTGATAGTTACTGGGCATTAAAAGAATACAGATGGGGGGATAAAACGAAAATTCATTGAACAATTGAGTAGCTAAGAGAATGGCCTTGGATCCACTCTAATCACAGAGCAGGAAGTTTGTATAGGTTTGTAATAATTTGAATTATGAGCAGGGTTGGAAAAATATACTGAAAAGGGGGTATACCATCAATACCACATAAAAAAAGTATTGGTTATACTGTAAATTTCAGACCGTATTGTAAGTTTTTGGTATTTTATGTCATTTTCGGTCTTCCATTATTTTTGATATACCACTAATTTCTTTATATAAGGGTAATTTTAGCTTTTTTGGTATATCAATAACTTTGGTACTATCTCTCTATATGTATCGATATGAACTAATAGTTCAGTATGGTATCAGTATAACATTTTCTTTTATCGGTATTTTTGGTACAACAATATATGGTATGCCATGATATTTATGGCATACGGTAACGTCCCACCCCTTATTAGAAGCCCATGGACCAATTAGAGTAAATATTAGATTGATTTGAGTTTTCGGAAAAATAAAACAAGAGCCAAGTATTACATTGAATATTAACAACAATTAAAAGTAAGCAATGTCAGTAGTTAAGAAAACTCATGTGTGTTTGTTTGTGAATTTGATTTTTGGTTTTGAATTTTTAGATAGTAAAGATTTGAATTTGAATAATTGTTTAATATAATATAAATAGATAATGATGTGATACTTGAAATGTAAAATAGAGTTTTAGTATAATATGAAATATAAAAAATAATTATTTAATTTGATATTTTTAGAGGAAAAAAAAAAAACTATATAGTAAAACTTTGTAAAATAAATCCAAAAAAGAACACATATTTTCATTAACGTGAAAATGGCACAATGTGGCAAAAATAATGCATTCAAATAGGTGTCAACAGGGCAGAAAATTGTGGATATAACCTAAACTGTAAGAATCCTCAATAATAATGAAATATTCATATGAATTTCAACTAGGAAGTCCATGTATGAGAACTCTTAAAACCTTCCCAAATTACTTCTAAAATCACTATTTTGGGAACCTAGCAAAGTAACAGTTCTCTAGAGAGATGGCATCTATGCTTTAAGGTGGAAAAGCAAATCACTTGTAGTACGGTAGTGGGAACTGTAAGCTTCAAACTTTTTCCTTCTCAAATGATATCAATATGCAAGATTTGTGAACTCACCTGTAAGCATAAACATGAAAATACATTAGCCTTGATTCCAGATGAGTTCTCTTAAGTGATAGAAAAACATGTATTATGGTCCTTTTATAGGCAGAGATAAGTGGTTTTAAATCACTTCTAATTTTTGACTAGACCGAGTCCAATAATAATAATAATAATAATAATAATAATAATAATAATAATAATATCATTATTATTATTTTCATTATATTTAAATCATTAATCAAATACACTAAATATATCTAATTAATTAATGACACGAGGTCACATTTTACATTCTTCCACTTGGTGGAGTGACAAAATATACATTCATGGTTTAAATAAAATAATAAGCTTTATGCGTACGGAATGACATAATAAATCAGAGCGTTATCGGTACAGGTCTAACATCGTTCATTAAGTATATACTAATATGAGTCATGGTGATTCTACATCATTGAATCAATAGTTCATTCTATGTTACACATACTAGTTTTCTACTTCTTCATTAATAATCGAAAACATTGATAATGGTCCACATTAATATTTAAGATAGACTACAACTTGTTCAAATAATATTAAGAATCTTGCGCACAAATAAATGAATAAGAAAGTATTCAATTTCAGAAACAATGCATAAGAGAGCTCGATATGTCAAATGCATAAAACATAATGTTCATCATATTACATTCATAATGCTCATTCTTTCGATATGTGCAATAAATGCCTTTGGAGGCAGTCATTTAGTCAACGGATCCACAATTATAAGATTGGTGCTAATATGTTCAATCGACATCTTTTGTTTCTGAACTTTTTCTTTGGCGACAAGGTACTTTAGATCCATATGTTTTTCACATTTAGAATACTTGTCGTTCTTAGAAAATAAGACTATTGCGGAATTAATAAGTTTTCAGCGAGCAACTTAGCAATGTTGTTAACTATTCCAAGTCCCAAAATAAAGTTTTGCAGCGAATTTCCTTGAACTGTGTCCTCGAAGCATGCCGCAAATTCAGCTTCCATAGTAGATGCAGCTATAATAGACTGTTTCACACTTTGCCATGACATTGCTCCTCCGACTAGTAGGAACAACTATCCAAATGTGGATTTCCTTGTATCAATACATCCGGCATAAGCTGAATCTGAATAACCAACAACCTCTAGACAATCAGACCTTCTATAAGTGAGCATGTGGTCTTTTGTCCCTTGTGGGTACTTTCTTTGCGGCTTTCCGGTGATCTAATTCTGGATTGCTTTGGTATTGACTAAGCATTCCAATAACAAAGCTGATGTCTGGCCTCTTACAAGTCTGTGCATACATCAGACTTCTCACAATTGATGCATAAGGAATTTCATTCATTTGCTTGCGTTCCAATTAGTTCTGTGGACATTGCATAAGACTAAACTTGTCCCTTTTCCGAATTAGAACGATGCTAAAAGATCATTTTTTCATTCTGAATCTCTCTAAAACTTTATTGATGTATTCCTTTTAGGAAAATCCTAACAATCCTTGTGATCTATCACGGAATATTTCTATTCCAATCACATAGTTTGCCTATCCATATCGTTCACTTCAAAGTTATTAGAGAGATATTTCTTGGTGTCACATAATAAATCAAGATAATTTGTTGCAAGCAAGATATCATCAACATACAGGATTAGAAAAATAAACTTGCTCCCATTGATTTTCAAATATGCACATCTAATGACGGTGTTTTTGTTAAATCCAAAAGAAGTTATAGTATCATGAAACTTGAGATACCATTGTTGGGAAGTTTGTTTAAGCCCGTGTATTGATTTTTTAAGTTTACTCACCATATTTTCCTTTCTTTTGATGGAGAAGCCTTGAAGTTGCTCCATTTAAACTTCCTCGTCTAAATTTCCATTTAAAAAGGTTGTTTTCACATCCATTTGGTGTAATTCTAAATCATAATGAGCCACCAAAGCCATGATAGTTCTAAACGAATCTTTCTTCGAGACTGGCGAAAATATTTCCTTATAATCAGCATTATTTTTCTAAGTAAAACCCTTGGCAACAAGTCTGGCTTTGTATCTTTCGATGTTGTCATTTGAGTAGCATTTGGTCTTGAAGACCCATTTTGATGCAAGTTCATTATCTTAATTGTGGGTCAAGTGGTCGTTAAATTGTTGTTCATGTCTAACGTTAGGAGATCCAACAACAGGAGGAACAACATTATTAAGACTTAAGAGTCAGTGGTACAGGAATGTGCGCTCTAACTTCTTGAATGTCAACCTTCCGTGATTCTTGACTCTCACTAACTTTACCATTCTCAATGAACTTTGCATTTCCAGCTTCAATAATTCTTGCACTATGATTAGAACAATAAAACTTATACCCTTTAGACTTGTCGGGATAACCAATGAAGAAACCATTGGTCGTCATTGAGTCTAATTTTCTTTTATGTGGATTGTAAGCTCTTATCTCTGTCGGGCAACCCCAATCATGCATATACCCTAAACTAGGTTTTTTACCGGTCCACAACTCAAAGTGAGTTTTAGGAACTGCTTCACTACGAATCATGTTTAATAAGTACATGACAGTTTTTAAGTGCATGCATGTGCCACACCTTTAAAGAAATTGGAAAATGGACCCCGGGCATTAACCCGATTCATTATATTTTCCATAATGTCACCATATCTATAAGATCCGATGATTTCCACTTTTCAATCCAGTTGTTTTTCAACCTCATTAAATAAACACTTCTAAAGTTTCTACTGACTGAGCTTTCTCATGTAATAGACATAACCATAACATGAAAAGTCATCGATGAAGGTGATGAAATATTTTTTTTTCCCAAAAGAGGAAACATCGAAAGGTTTGCAAATAGTAGAGTGTATTATTTCAAGAAGCTGTGTGCTTCTTCTTGCTCATATTTTTGTGTTTTTTTTTGTTTTCCTTTAATACAGTTTACACAAATACCGAGGTCAGTGAAATCTCAATCCGCAACGATTTAATTCTTCACTGATCTCGCAATTCTTTCTTTGGAAACATGCCCCAAATATTTATGCCACAAGTAAGCAAAGTTTTCATTTACTAAACTACGTTTAATTCCAACATCATTATGTAGGGTTAAAAGTTTCAACAAAGAGGTTATAAGTTCAAATTTGTAAAGACTACTATCAAGGACACTAGAACCAATGGGATGATTAT